GGACTTTGGTTAGTGATTCTCAAGAATATATGTATTTCTTCTGATTATAAAAATGTTACATATTCACTGTAGAAAAACTGAAAAACAAGGAAAAATAGAAAATAATCCATAATGTCACTAGATGAAGATTCTTTTAGCTAACATTAGAGTATTTTCTTTCTACGCATTTTTCCCTCAGTGTATTTACATGTGTAAATTTTTAGCAAAATGATGCTTAAATATTCCTTCAGATCACCTTATTTCATTTAACACTAGCAAGCGTTTATCCTATAATTCTCGACAATGTATTTTCCAATAGCATTATATGGATATAGCACAATTTATTTAATAATTCCCCAGTGTTAAATATTTATATTTTTATAACAACATATAAAAATGTTATATGGGGATGTAGCATGGTACACCGAAGTGTGGAAGAAAATATTGAAAACAAAAGTCTAGTTTTATGATAGAAATTCTGCTGCAAAGGACATTCTTGTAATACTTCTTTATGTCCCATCTAGGATTATTTCCTTGGAATAAATTCTTACAGGGAGACTCACCACGCTAAAGCACATAGACATATTTAAGGTTCCTAGCACTTACTGCTAAAACTTCTTCCAGAAAATGTATCAAATTACTTCCTCACCTACAAAGTATGAAAGTGCTAATTTCATTACACTTTTTCCAGTCCTTAATGTTTAAATGCTAGGGGTTAAAATATTATTGATTACTTTAATTTGAATTTCCTTGATTACCATGCTTCTTTTTTAAATTCCAGAAATTAGTGAGTGATATAAATTCCTCCACTGCCACTCCCACCTTGTCATTACCAATAGTGGCCTGGTAGGCGTAAATATAATGTCAGGTCCCTTGAAACTAGTAACTCAAGTTCTAGATTTTATTGGAGCCAAACAAAAGAAGAGGAAAACATAGCCATACATTAAAAAAAAAAATCAGTTATGTCCTTTGATCCTATTTCAACTCATCTAATTGACTCAGAACTTTTTTTTTTTGTTTTAAAATGTTTCTTCCATGACACCCACATCCAATAGTTCACCGCATTTGTGATACTTGAAGGGAGATTCGAGGAGAACCAGACACTGAGACAATGAGCTCCTTGGGAGAGGTGCAACGCCTGCTGCAGTCATAGAAAGGCTGAGATCAGCCTGGTAAATAAGTCAGGGAGGGACACATGCACACATTTTACCAAATGAAAGACGTCTCTTAACAATATTTGAAGTAACTAATATAGAACTTAAAGCAGAAACTGGGTACTCCAAGGTATGTGCAAATGTATGTGTTTATGGATGCACATATGCGTCAGATTTGTCACCACTAAGAACTGAGTGGTTCCTGGTGTGGTTGGGAAGAACAATGAGGAAGTTCTTGCTGTAGGGTCTTCAGCAAGGCTCTTTTTCAGAATACTAGATATGATAACACTGTCACTTTATATTCACTTTTCACAACCCTCTCTTTCTTTTCCCATCATCAAAGTCCTATCTTCCCTAATGGAAGGAAGAAAGAGTTTCATGCCACGTCATGGCTCAGTCCGGTCAGTGAAAAGCAGAAATTTGTTCTCAAAGCTCTTCCACATATGTAGGCAGGGAGTGGGGAGTGGGGGAGGGGTTAAGGGATGAGGTGGAGGGATGGTTTGGTTCACTGATTTGATAGTGATTCATCTAACCAAGGGAGAATGTGTCCCTGCCTAAAACTGCAGGAAAATAACACATTTTCTATCCCAGGAGCAGTGTTATGCTGGTGCCAAGATACCCTGAAGGCCAACTCCAAACCCAATAATTAATGTGCAATGTTTATAAAGCAACCAATAATGGACAATCTTCCAAGACTTTGTCTACAGGACCCTAAGTAACTATTAATCCTTTGGAACCAGTTATTTGGCAATGTATATTTTAAAAAAACCTAGTTTTTTGCCTGACTTAGTCATTTTACATCTTATACAGACAGAGCAGATGATGTGACTGGGGATGTACCTTAGTTCAAGGACTGAAAACAAAATAATCACTTTGTATACCAACATTTCTTTTGTCATATTCAAGAAGATACTGGAAACTTGAGAACAACATATACAGGACATGTCTTTCTGGAGAATGTGGTAATTCATGATAATTTCATCTTAGAGAAAAGAGAAGATGCAATAGTGGGATAGGCTTAGTGCTGATCATCAAGGAAGAATGGGATGGAGAAACAGAAGTGGCAGGAAGGTTGGGGAAAAATGGCCCAAGTTATTTACTGATAGATAAAGGAAGGAATGAGAACCTCAGCAGGCATGGACTGTAGACCAGTGTTCTTCAAAGGGGTTGCAGTGTGCCCCAGAGAGGATGTGGGATGATACACTGGAGTGTGGAAGAAAATACTGAACTGTTATTTTTCATTTTTTTAGTTAGCTGTTACAGTGGACTGAACTGTGTCCTGCCAAAGTATATGTTTAAGACCTAACGTCTGATACCTGTGAGTGTGGTCTTATGTGGAAACTATGGTCTTTGCACACGTCATGAAGTTTAATGAGATCATACTGGGTTAGAGTGGGCCCCAAATCCAATGACTGGTGTCCTTATAAGAAGAGGAGAGGACACAGAGATACACACAGGGAAGAAGGCCAAGTGAAGACAGAGGCAGAGACTAGAGTGATGCAGCTACTGGGAACACCAAGGATTGCCAGGTACCATCAGAAGCTGAAAGACACAAAGAAACTTCTTCCCTGGAGCCTTCAGAGGGAGTGTGGCCCTGCTGGCACCTTGATTTCAGACTTCTAGCCTCCAGAATTGTGAGAAAATAAATCTTTGTTGTTTTAAGCCACCTGGTTTGTGGTAATTTGTTATAGCAGCCCTAGGAAACCAATACAGTTGTTTACCAAAAACATATTGAACACTAGTGAATTCACCAGGTAAATGCTGGATTCTAATCACCAGCTAAGAGTTAAGATACCTCTTGTGTTCACCTAGTTCCTCAGGTGTGGTAAGGTGGGATGGTTCAGTAAGACTCTGATTACATCTTAAATAATGTGGTACGACATCACTGAGTAAATACCAACCATGTGATGGACACATAGGTCAGAGCTAGAAGAATCTGAGTAACGTTGTAGAACAAAGAAATGTCACTTAAAGCTGCACCAGCACATACTGTGACTTCACTGCCCCTAATCGTGCACAACAGTTTCCCCCTATAATTCCTTCTGATGCACCTGTCCAAATACATAGCTAGTAAGAGGTTTCATCTCAGGTGAGGTCCAAGGTAGAGCAGTTTAATGATGACCATCAGGAGCAGCACTTGAAGCTTCCAAAGCTTTATGTCTTTGGTCAGCATTTTTTCTAGTTTTATAAACCACAAAGCTCATCAAATTCTCTGCAAACCAAGTCTCTGGCAAACCTGGGTAGAGCAGGCCTTCAAAAGGATACAGAAATTTTAAATTATGTTTCAAACCATTTTGGCACAGGATAAGTGGCTGAGCTAGATTCAACCATCAGCCTATATTTATTTTTTTCTATTCATTCTTTTTGTTTCTATTTTCGTGTCTTATAAAATACCACTGTGAATTTCTATATGTGTATTTATATAGACATGTCTATGCATCTGTGTGTGTATATATATATATATAGTATATATAGATATACATACATATCTATCTACCTATCTATAGAGAGAGCACTTAGTTTTGTCCTATGATTATTACTGTAGTACATTCACATAATTAAAAGATAAATATTAGCATATTTGGGGGGCACATACATAAAGTGTTTTTACTCATTAGGGGCACATGATCAAAAAACTTTGGAGACCACTTCTATGAACTTTAGGGATAAAAATTTCATAAAGTTCATAGAAAAGATAAGTTCTATTTTAGTGTCCAGAGCAATAAAATGAATGACAGCTCAAGAATGATGGGAGGCTGTCAAAAATAAAATGCTAACAATACAATCATAAATGGTCCTGGCAGGGAAGAAAAGGGCAGTCATTGTCACACCTGTGTGGTTGCAGAGGGTCCTCCCAGGAGGTCAGAGTGTAAAAGGATATTTGACCATAAAGGAGCAGGGGATCCTATCCAAGGCAGAACAATGAGGTAGCACCTTACTGAAAAAATAGTGTGAAAATACTGACACTCAGGAAGTGCTGAGGTTTGCAGAAAATACCAAGGAAAACAGTAATTTTCAAACAAAACATCTGATGAGATATAATGAGAGTAAGGAAAAAAATAAGGGAAGAGGCAATGGAACTAAGATTTACTGTGGACCTACTATGTGTTCATTACTATACTATGTTCTCTCCTTTAATATTTGCAAAAGCCCAGTGAGACAATTACTGTAAATTCTACTTTACAGATGATGAGGTGAGGATACTGGGGTGCTAGAGAGATCCATGAACATGCCCAAGATCACTCATGTACCAACCAGTATGGAGAAGAGACTGGACAGAACCAGAATACGTCAGACTCCAAAACCCGCTCTCTTCACTACACAAGGCTGCTGGTCTAGCAAGTTAAAGAACTTCCTCCCTCCCTCCCTTTCTTCCTCCTTCAAAGTATTGCACACCCAGGATATCTTAGCATCTTCTTTCAATTGTGCCAGACTAAGTTCTTAATAATAGAGAGATCATCAGCTTACGACTCCTTCATTCAGTCGTCATTCCACATTGCCCAGTCTCTGAAATAGTAGTACTAAGTGAGGAAGGATACACCATGGAAAAGGACTCAGGCCCTCTTTTTGGGAAGCTCATACACAGGCAAATAACAGCAATACAACATCGGTCTTATAATAAAGGTATGGAGGGCTATAGCCCTGGGAGTCATGAGGCAAGTGAGTGAGGTAAACGGTTTGCTTCCTTCTGACCTATTAGGGGAATGAAGGAGAGAAGGGTAGAATAATACGCCTGATAAGGATGAAACTCAAGATATGTCAGAAGAAAGTAATGGAAGAAGAAGATGATTTAAATTCACTCACCTACTTACACCCTAAGATACCTTAAAATATTAACTCACTCTCTCCTTCTGTGCTGCCGCAGAGTCATACTGCTTCCTGCAAATATGGCTCCTCCTGTGATTCTTTAGGTAGTTCTGCACGTTCCAGTTCCAAGAGCCTTTCTGCCCAAAAGCCTTGCTCACCCCAGTTCCTGTACAAGATGCTACAAACAAGAAATAAACCTTTTGCATTTCAGAATATGCTCCTCACCTTCAGGTAGTGTATTTTTGTGAGCCCTTTCTGAGATGTCTCTTGCCCCTGTTCGCATTTCTTCTCTGAAGTGCATGGTGTATCCCTCCTCACTTAACACATTTCCAAGTCTGTGAACTCACGAAATAGAAATAGAAAAAAGTAATGGAAGAATAAGATGATTTAAATTTACTCACCTAATTACACCCTAAGATACCTTAAAATATAAATATTTGAAAGCAAAAGAACGTTATCCTAGTTTTCAGAAAAGGCAAGGTCCAAAACTCCAGGCAGATGTTGGCTACCACTTCTTAGCCTTTTTTTTTTGTTTTAGAACTGGTCATTAAACAGATGGCTTATGAGGATTTAGGAAGAAAGTGGTAACTTCCAGGATGAACATGGCATAAGTCAGCATTTTCTAGTTTTCCTCCTGGAAGTCATTCAAAAACAAGGAGAACAGAAACACACTACAGACCACAGACCTTATTTTCTATAAAACCATGAGAAAGATATGATCTGACATCTCAATTTATGTGTAAGGGCTGCAAAAGCCCTTGAGATTGGTTGTAAGCCACAAGGGAAAAAGTATAAAAGAAATGCAAAGAGGGGCATGAGAGCCTAGTGGCAGCACATCTCAGAAAGTGCTCACAAAAATACACTACCTGAAGGTGAGGAGCATTTTCTGAAATGCAAAAGGTTTATTCCTTGTTTGTAACATCTTTTGCAGGAACTAGGGTGAACAAGACTATTGGGCAGAAAGGCTCTTGGAACTGGAACGTGTAGAACTACCTAAAGAATCACAAGAGGAGCCATATTTGTAGGAAGTAGTATGACTCTGTGGCAGCACAGAAGGAGAGTGTGTGAGTTGAGAAAAACAGCATGAAGCCTATCACATCTCTCCTGCCACAGGAACTTCTTTCTTGTAAATTACTGTCCAGAAAAGTGTCCTTAATTGGATGATGAACAATCATAATATCAATACAAAGATATTATTAGAAAAAAGTAGAAAAAGAGTCACAAAATTTAGTAACAGATGAAAAGCATGCATCAGGTAAATGACGCCATGGCACAGATAAAAATGTAAGCAAACATTTTCTTATAAAATTTTAAAACCACATTGAAGGCTTCACTTCTATGAAGGAAGTAATAACTTTTATGAAGGAAGACCATGATGCAAAAATACAATAACTCAAGGAAGAGAAAGAGCTGAATGTGCTAATATGGAAATGTCTTTGAGATGTACTGTTAAATGAGAAAATTAAGATGTAGAAAACAGATACGGAATGCTACCGTTTAGGTATAAAAGCAGAGGAATATAAAATTAAAAATATATACATATATAATTCCTACAGCGTGTTCTAGTTGTATATCCAAGATGAAAGTCTAAGAGGATATGCAAGAAACAGCAACAGTGGCTATATGGTGGTGGAGGAGGATGGGCATGAATGGGGTCCATCATTAAGAGGAAGACTTTTCACTGTAAACCTTTTCATACATTTTTACTGTGAACGGTGTGACTGTATTATCTGTCAAAAAATTAAATAACCCATTAAGGAGATAGAAAGTTATAATAACTAGAGATCTAGCACAGTTTTACTAAAAAATAATGAGAACTATGTCCAATTAGCTTCATTTCCTTTTTTGGCAAGGTTATTGGACTGGGCTGTGGGGGTGAGAGCAGAGATTAAGCTCATCTGGATGTCACATTCCACAAAAGTTGTATCCTATTTCCTTCTGGCCTGGCTGGAGGAATGAGGGCTGGACTAGAGGTGGGTGGATTCTGAGCTACTTCCACGACCGAATTCAAAAGGTATGGATTAGGCTATGCAAATTTTGATGGAAGATTACATCCTGGGTCTCTTTCTGCTTAATAATTTTTAAATAAAAATTTGCCTATTAAATTTGCAAATGATACAAAATGGTAGGAATCAGTAAGCACCCAGCATCCATCAGAACACATATGCTGTCTTATATTTAGTTTTGGAGAAATATTTTAAAGGGGACATTTATAAGCCAGGTATTTCCAGAGGGGAGCACTTAGAATTTCAAATTATTTCAAAATCACTCTTATAGGAGGGAGGAGTCGAGGATGTTACCCTGAAGACAGGGAGACCAGGAGGATGTTTGGTAGAACTCTCCAAATATTTGAACAACTGCCATTTGGAGGTTAGAACAGACCGATTTCTTTTCAATTCAGAAACACAACTAAGATCAATAAGTAGAATTTACAGGAAATAAGATATAGGGTCAACAGTGAGAATAACTTTTTAATAACTAGAGATGTCTCAAGTAGAAGACATCAATAGCCAATGATCATATGAAAAGTTACTTAACCTTATCAATAATTAAATAAATGGAAACAAAACCAATGAGATGCAACTTTAAAAATTATTTTTGGGTCTATTATATTGGCAAAAACCATGGGGAGTGATAACATCCACTGATTTAGGGAAAAATATGGAGAAATGAGCACACTTATCCATTGCTGGGGTGAGTGGAAATTGGTGCAACCACTGAGATAGATAGTGTTTATCAGATGGTAACATGGACATACCCTTTGATCCAGCATTTCCATCTCTAGGCAATTCATTTGGAAATACTCATGTCAACTGTGAAAGCTATATGTTCAAGGACGTGTACTGTAGGATCTCTGGCAATGGAAAAAAGACTTGGAAGCAACCTAAATATCAATCAATCAGGGATTTTTAAAAAGACATTATAGTATACCCATGCTCTTGACTATGCATGTATTAAAAAGAACAAAGCAGATCTATCTGTACAGATTCAAGACTTAAAGTGAAAATTTAAGTTGCAGACTGCTAGTGTAATCTTCTTGTAAAACAGCAACAGTAAAAAACCCCACAATGATGTTATTTTTTGGTACATACACAGAAAATCACCCAAAAGGATAGAGACCAACGGATCACATCTGGGGAGTGGGGTGAGGGGTGGGAGTGTGGGTAAATTTTATACACTTTTGTAGTTTTGAATTTACATGTGAGTATGTTAAGTTTTTGTAATTAAAGACATAAAGACTTCAAAAATGGAAAGGTTGAGGGGTCGGCTCAGTGGTGAAGCGGTTGAGTGTGCGCGCTCCGCTTCGGTGGCCCGGGGTTCGCGAGTTCGGATCCCGGGTGCGCACCGATGCACCGCTTGTCAGGCCATACTGTGGCGGCGTCCCATATAAAAAAAACAGAGGAAGACGGGCACAGATGTTAGCCCAGGGCCAATCTTCCTCAGCAAAAAGAGGAGGATTGGCATCGGATGTTAGCTCAGGGCTAATCTTCCTCACCAAAAAAAAAAAAAAAAAGGGAAGGGGTGATTTGTGAGGAGGTGAGATCTCTGTCACTGAAGTGTTCAAGCACAGGCCCAAGGAAGGGTGGGAGGTAGGGAGGGGAGAAAGTTGAATGAGATGACCTCTGAGCACCCTTAATGTCCTGAGAGTCTGTGAACCACTCTGCTACTCCTGTGTCCTCTAATTCACCCAGGGGAAGCTCCAACAAGATGAAAGAAAACAGAGCATTTTAAAAATGAGATAAATCAAAGTAATCGCTGCAGAGACCTCGTGAAACCCATTACCAGCAATCAGTCCTGCCTGACACACCGTACCCCGCCCCTACAGTGCCTTTCCCCCCGCAGCACAGGTCGATTTTACTGTACTAAATTTGGGAGTGTGTGGCTAGAAGACGTAAGTTAGGCCAGGAAGCTGCCGTGGGATTTAAAGAACTTGAGAATTCAAGCCTGTGGCCAGCGCTCCCAGGAGCTGATGGATTCCCTTCCTTCCTCCAGGTCAGGTGGAGAACGCTGCCCTTGAGTTATCAGAAGCACCTCTTCCTTACCACCCTCAGTGCAAGGGTGACATCTGCTCTGCAGGCTTTGTAGCTGAGGGCACCTGTGCAAACTCAGCCGGACCTTTGTAAAGCTTGCTGTCCATTCCTCAGTGCTGGAGTCTGGGGGGCCAGCCAGCTTCCTCCCGCCCCCATTCCTCGGTGCCCAGCAAACAGAGGTGGGGTCACGTCTGTACTTCCCTGCTTACCGTTTATTGGCTACAAACAGCACTCTCCCTGAGAGGGTCTCTCCTTCCTTGGCAAAGAGAGGAGTCTGAAGAAGGCACCGCACCTGATACCAGTGAGTCAGAGGCTCGGTTGGGGCTGTTGACAGCCAAACCGTTACCCTGTGGGGCAAGAAAAGAGTTAAAAGCCAATTATGGTACAGGCCTATATTAATAAATTGGACTGGGCACTTAGGTTGATAAGTGGTTTTGTTGTTTTTGACTCATGGAATCTTTTTGAGAAGGATAGCTCAATTTACTGAGGAGTTACTATGTGCTGGGTACTGTACTAAGAGCTTTATTTATTAGTCCATTAAGTCTACCCAACAACCGTATGAAGTAAGCCCAGAGAGGTTAAAGGACTTGCCCAGCATCACACAGAGGACGATTGGAGAGCCAGGCTTCAAACCCCTGGACTTGGCCACTCTGTCAATCTGTATTTCTGAATCAAAGTTCATTAGAAGCCCAATAGGTAACAGAGTTAAACTGGGAATTGATATGTTTGAAAAGTCTAGCAGGGTGAGCAGTGTGGGAGTCTGGCCTCTTACTGTCTCATGCCAACCTGTCCAAGGATCCTGACCAGGCTTCTGGAAGCAAGAAGACTACTGGAGCAGATGGCCTCTACTCTCCTTCTGGGTCAGACTACCTGCGTGTGTTTGTGTGTGGGGGAGTGTCTAGGTTGAGGTTCTCCATTTCCTATAAAGGAGTGAGAACATCTTGGTGTGTTTCAAACACTGAGGTCACCTGTCCTGGGGTTAGCAGTGGTCGTTGGCTTGTAGGGAGTAGGGTGCACATTAAGCACAGGGCAAATTCCTAGAGGGTCAATTTTGACTTGAAGATTCTGGGGGGATATTTTACATAATTTAACTGCTAGGTAATGTAAACCACTTTTATATCAAAATATACTCAGCTATCTGATGGAGTAGAATGTAAATTTTCTGCAGCTTTTTAAGATAAAGCGTTTAACTTCAAAGAAATTTCCCCTTTGAAGCAGGCCACTTCAAGTTTATCTCCCTTCACCTTGCAGAAACAAGTTCATTTCCTTGGGATATTACTGGGGCAAGGTGTGGGTTCTTTGAACAAACGCGCCATGTGGAATAGGAATGACCTGCACGTCACTTTCTTTCTCTCTGCCTATCAGCCAGACAACACTTCCAGGGAGCCCTCCTCTCCTGAGCTCCCCGAGCTTTATCACAGACCCACGGGCACTTCCTTCTCAGCAGGTGCAAGGATGAGCCTGGATGTTTTTATAAGGAGTGGAGGAGAGTGTAATATACAAGTTTTCCCTTTGCCTGGTCATGTGACCCAGATCAAATCTCTTTGCTTGTTGGACACACGAGAAAGGCTGGGAAGAGAGTAGGGAAGTCAGGAGGAGAGCAGAGATTTGGGGGTCGTGGGAGCGGCGCAGCCCCTATGAAGAACAACAAACACTGACGATCAACTTATAGGTGGTCTTTCTCCTCTTTTCCTGGCAACTTTCAAACTTTTGCAGTAGGGCAAAAAGGGGTTCACGGATGGAGAATTTACCTAATGTTGCAATTAGTCTTAGTAGCACATGCCGGCCTGGTCTTAAAGAAGCAATCTAGGTTGTGAAACTGAAGACTGTGAAGCAAAGTGGGGGAAAGTATGACTCGAGGTATTACCCAGATACAAGAGGCTCTATAACCAGGTGGGATGGAAGCCAAGGCAGGGCTTGGGGGTCCCCCACCTATTCTGGAAAAGAACAAGAGGGTCGATAAAGCACAGACCCTCTCTTACTCCTCCAAATCCAATTGGCTTAAGAAGTTTTATAATATTTAAGCCAGAGTCAATATGACACTATGGAAAACCATCTCACTTTCACTTCACTCTAAAACCTAAAAGTAACATCAGTGCTTATTTTCTTGAAAACTGGAGAAACAAGTATTATTGTTGTTGAAATTAATTTTTAAAAACTTTAAAGTTATGATTACAAACAGTAGAGGAGAGCGTGGGATACAGCAGGCGAAGAAGGGGGTGATACATACAGAGATCCAACAAAGGCCACGTCAAACCAGAAGGCCAGGCCGTGGACGAGGCCAGACTGTGCCATCTGAAACACAAAGGGGATTTCTACTCTGCAGGGAAATAAAAGAGAGAGAGAAAGAAGAACCACTTGGAATTATTTTGTTGTTGACAGGCATCCTAGATACATTTGCGAGATCAGTGGGAACATTCACAGAATATTTTCTCTTTCTCAAGAGCTTTTGCCTCTGCAGCAAGGTTCTCTCTGTGGGTGATTAGTGCTTGGATGACACCGCCCATTTGAGAATGGTGCTTCTTGACAAAACTCAGCAAGGACCACACCACTATGCTGCGGTGACCCAGAACTCCACAGGGTGCGGGCAGCCTCTGGAGCTGGGTTTGACTACCGAAGAGGAGGACGAGTCAGGACACAGGGAACAACCACCCTCCTAGAAGCCTAAACATAGACTGTGGAAACTCCCCTCGGCAGCTGTTCAGGCCTCTAAAAAATGAAGTGCATCACAAGGGGGAACATGAGGCTCAGAAGGTCTTTGTTGTAGTTCATTTATTTTTCAGGGAGGCAATTTAACTTCTCACCAGGCTACAGTCAGAGTCATGCAGAAGTGGCCATGGTTTATACCAAATGCAGAACAAGTGAGAACAGAAAGAACACTGCAAAAGATACAACAAAATCTAGATGCCGGACCTGCTGTAGCTGTGGAACCTTGGAAAGTGACTTAAATTCTCTGAACCTCAGTTTCCTCATTTGTTGAAGCCAAAATCTCTCTTCTACTTCCCTCACAAGCTTCCTGTGCATGTCAAATGGGAAAACAAAATGTATGTGAAAGTGCTCTGCAAACTTTAAATCTTTTAAACTAAATCTTTAATTGGTTTCACAATTAAAAGATGATATTATTGGTCTATTGCTCGGGCTGTGTCACTCCAAGGAGACTTATTTTAGGGAGTGCTCTAGAGATTTGCAAAGGAGGTTGCATATTATTTGCATGTATGGTGCACCCCAGAAGCCTAATTTCTTCTACCCTGCAGCAGTCAGAGTATTTCTAGAGTTTTCCACTGTACTTGTCACATTGAATTTGTTGGTACTGCATTGTAATTATTTCTTCCCAGTTTTTGCATTTCTCTCAATGGACTATGAGCTCCTCAAGGGTAGACTTTAAAAAACTACTTTTCGTACCTGTGCACGCACCAGCATAGTACCTGGCATCACAGGAGAATCTCAATCAACATTTGCTAAATCAATGCCCAAAGGAATGGATGACATCTCTGGAAAGCCAACAGAGACAAAATTTTCAAAAAATTCCCTGGGACCCAGGAGGTAGCCCAGAGCAGCAAATAAAGCCAATGAAAGTCAGTTTTGTCTGGATCTGTGGTCATTATTAGAGTTGTCCTCAAACGCCAGTTCTCTTGCTCCGAGCATACAGTAGGACTGCATTTATCCACTCACTGGAGCTCAGGCACTGCCATGTGATTTACTTTGACCAGTTAAATGTGAACAGAAGTGAGTTGTGTCATTTCCAGGCAGAAGCTTCTATTGCCAGTACATACTGCCATGCTCCTTCTTTTTCCTCGGTGACCAGCATTGTTCCAGATAAAGGCTGCTGTACCAGCCTGACTGCTGGGGTTGGTGATGCTGTGCAGAGCTAAAGCTAGTGCACAATGGCCAAAGAGTGCAGGGGAGTAAGATACCTGTGTTATCATAAGCCACTGAGGCTTCTTGTTGCTGCAGCGTGTTCTAGCCTATGCTGACTGATACAGGGCCCTTTGTGCATCATGATCTCAAGATGGCTGATGGTCTGAGTTAGCCAGCTGCCCCTTCTAAAGTCTGACCCTTGCTTCCTCAGTAGTCCAGGCAGACTATAATCTGGCTGAGTTCTAAATTTCTTACCTAGAAAAAATTATGAATATTGATCTTCTCAGGGAGAAAAGGGCAAAATACTAGCAAAAGGTCACCCAAAGAGAATTCCTATCACCATCTGAGAAATGAATCCTCATTTCAGAGGCTCTTCAAGTGGAGGGAAAGAGGGCAAAAACTAACATTTACTGAGTGCCCTCTTTGAAAAGAAGCCAGTGCCTGCAAATCACTTAGCATATAGTACCTAGTATTTAGCAAGCACTTAACAAGTTGTAGCTTTTCTTGTCATTATTACGGGCACTGCCTGGGAACGTGGCTAAAAAGCCCAGACTCTGGAGCCGACTGAATGGTTCAAATCTTGGCTCTAAGACACTTACTAATTCTGTGACCTTAGGCAACTTACTGCTCCATTCGGCCTCATATTTGTCCTTGGTAAATGGGGGTAACAATAGTACCATTTGCATAGGGTTGTCGTGAGGATTAAATGAGTCATTATAGTTAAAGGGCTGAGAACACTGCTTGGCTATATAAATACAAGCTATTACTATTTAATTTTTCTCATTCAATTCTTAAAACAATCCTATGAAGGAAGCATCCTTATCCTTATTTTGCAATAAATGAAACTAGTATTGATGCACTGTTCCTATGTGTGACTCATACCCAAAATCTCTGCTGTATGTGAGCAGGAAAACTCTGCACTGAAGTTCCGGGGATGGGAGAGGTGCAGAGGAGATTTTAGAAACCAAGAGCGAAACTGATTTTGTACAAACCTGTGGAGATCTGCTTCTTCTGCATCCATAAAGTTTACTGTGTACTTGACTGTCCGAGCCATCAAAATCCTAATGTCAAATGTGTCCTTGGGAAAAAAACAACAAAGATGTTATCTTTCTGTCAGGATGAACTGAACTCAAGCAGGATTGCTGTCTAGCTTTCCTCCTGAAATTTTAAGTCAACAAGAGTTACAATTTAGAAGGCATGAGCTTAATGAAAATAACATTAATAACAAAAAGCTACATTTATTTAGTGCTTCCTATAGGCCAAGCACTAAGTGCTCTGTGCTTCACTACATGCAAAGTGCTTTACTAGGTTATATCATTTAATCCTCACAATGTTGTGGGAGTAGGCATTTGGTGTTTTTTCAACCATCCAGAATTTACCTCTTCTCCACATTCTAAGAATTATCATAGGAACTTGGTCCACTCTCAGCTCCAGGTACAGCGTGTGACCCCAGCTTGGCCAATCAGAGCATTACTTTTTCCCTGAATACAGTGATCGGTTCACAGATGGCACATGACCCACGGTGGAGAATGGGGCTCCATCTGAACAAATTCTTGGGTTTTGCCTAAGTTATCACGAAAAGGCAGACTCTCTTGTGGGACTCAGAGTTGTAAGAATCCAAGGCTGGAACTTCTGCAGCCATAATGCTACCATGAGGGGAGATCTTGTCTAGGAACAGAGTTAAATCAGAGGGCATAGAGATAAGTGATGAGAAGAGAAAAATTAGATCCTGGTGACATTGTCTGAACTTCTACAACAGGTCCATGAAATAAGCTCTGTCTCCAGGCTTTGTAATTTTTGAGGGCCAGTAATTCCATTTTAGCTTAAGCCACTTTGAGCTGGGTTTTCTTCCACTTACAACTGAAACAGTTTCAGATAATGCAAACTTAAAGTGGTCCAAGGTTACACAGCTAGATGGGGCCACAGTTGAAACCGAAATCTGTTTGACAGCAAAGCTCCTGTTCTAAGCTATTTATTATACAAAGCTTCCTCTTCTCTTATGCCTTGGGCCAGCAGAATCAATGGGAGGATGTGAATTATTGACCAAGTATGAGGGCTGAGTGTGCACATGGGGTGGGTCAGGGCAGTGCGAGAATTAGAAGTTACTTATTGAAAGGCAGTTAGAAAATCTCCTTGCTTTCAACAATATCATTCTCTGAGAATTTTCTTAATTGATTGGGAGATCAGAGCTGGAAGACTTGGAAACATAGTGCTCCAAGAGCACTTTCTTCTCTTCTGCAACGGCTCAGCACGGAGCCTGGCAGCACAGTGCATCTCAGGTGCATGAGTGAGTGAATGAATCAATAGATAAACACGTGGGGAGGAAGCCTGTAAAGAGAACACACTTACCACTATGGGCTGTCTGAAGTATTCGTCCACTGCAGCACCCCGGAGACTGGACAGGTTGACCCCATAGAAGCACTCCTGATACCTGAAATTGGTAGCACAAAGAATCGCCATGCATCTTGTCCCTTCCCTGAGTCCCCAAGCCCCTCACAGCTGTGACGTGCTGTGGGGCTGCCTCACAGGTCCTCTAAGTTAGCCCTGGAGCGACTGTGAGAATATCTGAAGGGCAACTGGTCTACAGGGTATGGTAGAGAAGGAAACTCTCTCTAGAGAATCTGCAGACCCGTACTTGACCTGGGGTGGGGAGAGAGAAGGGGGGAAGCAGTTGAGGTGAGGAGATTACTGAGAAGGGTATTTGGAGGGAGGAAGGCCTTTGGGCTTCCACCCCTGACCTCAGGCCCCAGTGTGGCTGCCTGCTCTGTGACATGCTGCCCACGTCCTGAAATGCAATTCCTTGGCCTTCTCACTCTCCCATTCCAGAACGCGACTTCAGATCTCCAAGCCTCTCAACACTCCTGTTGTTTTAGGAAATAGATCTCCCTTTTCTGCTCTTCCATAGCCCCTGGCCTGCACCTTCAGGATGGCATTTGCTGCGACGGCCAACACCAGGCAGAGAGTCACAGCTGAGTGAGGGCTGTGTCAGGTGGTGAACTGGAGCCGGCTTGTCAGAGTCCACTGTGCACATTTCTTCCCAATTCCATGGTCGGTGACATCTGGACCACAGGAAGTGGCAGACACTACAGATCATGCTTCCTATCCTCAGTGAGCCAAGATGTACAGCATTTACCAGCACACCTCTGGTGTCTCTTCCCTTTACGTGCCTGTTGCACATCAGCCCAGGCCTGGGACACAGCAGGTACCCTGGCTGAGCTAGCTACTGGTGTCGACCGCTTAGAGAGAAGGTCGAGGATGTGGATTAAGAGTGGCTTTATTTAAGCTCTGCCACGGACAAGCTGTGTGCCTTGGGCAAGTCACCTGAACTCTGTGCCTCGGTTTCCTTATCTCTAAAATGGGAATAATTATAAGCTCACTTTGTAGGGTTATAGTAAGGGTTAAATGAGTTAATACAGGTACTTTGAGCAGTCCTTGGCATTTTGTTACTACTATATGAATGTTGGCTAATATTCTCTGAACTTCACCTCAGATCAGCACTGGGGACTAGGGTAGTGGTTCCCAATCTAACTGTGTTGTGGCATTACTTTGGGGAGCTTGCTAAAAATTCGAATTCCCAGGCCAAACTCCAGAAAGGCTTGGGGACCCATCACTAGAGACTGAAAACCTTTATCCCGAGATTGAAAAGAGGCGTCCCTAAGAAGGGTGTGTGTGTGTGTATGTGTTGTAAGGCCTCTGAATCAGATTCATCAGCCTCCGTCCTCCCCCAACCCCACGTGCACCAACCCGCAGGGAGGAGAGAAAAAAACAGCAGCACAGAATAAACATAAAAAAAAATTTGTGATGCAGTTAGATCTTGAGGGAAGGACCAGCCCAAGTGAAGCTCTAGATCAGAAATTAGCTTCAATGCCCTCATGGGAGGCAGGGAGGCCTAATCAGGTTAAGCAAACAGCCAGTCCTCAACCTGCAAGTGAAACGCAAGCCCCACTGGGCTCCTTACAGATCCTAAAGGGCCTGTACCATCTCTCACCTCTGAGCCTTTGCTTGTTTTCCTTTCTACTTAGAATGCCCCTTGCCTTCTTCTGCCCTGTTAATTCCTACTCAATCTTTAAGACTCAGCTCAAATATTCTCATTAAAAAATTTTAAACCTTGTGTGATAATTAAATATTTAAGTTTTACACATTTAAAAGCAGAAGTATTTTCTTGTTCATCAGTGTATATTTAGCACTGGCCTCATATATTGTTGGCACTAAAAATTATCTATCTATCTATCTACCCATCTATCTTTAATGAATGAATTGCGGACTTGGCGTCCTTAATAGCCCTATGTGTGGGGACAGGTGCCAATCAGGATAACAGAGAAATGGGAAATCATTAGCCCAAGTTTCTTTGGTTTCAGTACTTGTTTCCTAATCTTCTCCTTCCACCAAAGGCCACAGCCAGGCTGGCCCACAGGTAAAGCCAAACGGTGCTGCATGTCATTTTATGAATACACATACTGAAAACAAGGCTCCTATAATCCTAGAAAATGCTCAGAAACAGAACACCGTAAGTTTAAACAATCTTTTCAGTATTTAGAAGGAGAGGGGAAGTGTTCTCAGGGAAATAAGTCATTGTCACAAAAGTTTTTATTATTGGAAAGGATGAGGGAGAGGGGAAGAATGGAGGGGACAGGAGGGACAGAGACAGAGAATTTCGCAGACAGCGCAGAAGGACTCAACCTCGTCCGTCTTTTAGCATCCCCTGGGAAGCTTTTAAAAAGTGCTGATGCCTGGACAGCATCCCTCCAGTTGTGATTTATTTGATCTGCGGTGTAGCCGTACTGCTTGTTTGTTTCCAAAGCTCAACAGGTGTTGCTAATGTGCAACCAGGGTTGAATATTACTAAGTTAGCTGTTCTAGAATCCTTGCCAAGTAGGTGAAAGAGAAAATCCCAAAGGCAAAGATAGCCCTCCACCTGGCAGTGACTGAGGTTGAAAACTGTTCTCTGTTCTTTGCATACAACCTCAGTTCTCAGAGGGGCCCCATCTGTGCCATCTTCTTTGTGTGTTCACTGCCAATTAAAACCAGCAGCCACGATCAGTGTGGTGCAAATGGGCACCATTCCTGGGGCAGACGGAGAGCTGCGGGCAAAGAGCCCACTGCCTCGGTTTTAAAAACTTTCTGGCTGGACCATCCTTCTAATTCTTAGAAATCTCAAATCTCCTTCTGAAATGCATCATAAAATAATTAAAGCAGATGGGAGCTGGCATCTCTCTGGGCCTCCTAAGATACACTGTCGGGGGATGGATCAGGAAACGAATCTGTTGACTTGGAAGCTGGGGCTAATTTCCATTGTTGTCATCATGTGTGGGATTTATTTTCCAACTTAACTTCTGGTCTCTTTATGAGTGCATGAGGTGCAGTCTATGTGTGGTTTTTTTCCCTCCCAACTTAAATTTCCAAGTGTACTCCCCTCCCCTCCCCTCCATCTCTACCATAATACATGCAATATCGGGAAATTCCTGCAAATACAGTCCAGAAGGAAAACAATCTTATTATTATCTACATCCAAGCACACGCAGAATCCAGAGAATGAGGTAATCCATTTACCACCACATTAGCTTCTCCACTTTGTCCACGCAGGGCCTAGCTTGGAGAAGCATCCAGGAGAACCCTCCCTCTCTGGTCTCTTTTGCTCTTGTGCTCTCTTTTCTAGTTCACCTTGGTCTTTTGTCTTTCCTCCTCCTCCACACATCTCCTCTTCCCACCAGTGTCCTGAATCTGTCTTAGAAGCATGGTGGTGCAGCCTTAGTTTCTCTTGCAGAAGTTAGCACTGGTCTTTCAGAGTCAACAGAGGGGAACTTCTCTAATGCAGGCACTCCTTTCTCTTGGTAATATGAACACACTCTCTCATTGCATGACTTTGATATTTTATTTTAATAAAAATCTTTGCATTTTCATTCTATTCCAACAAAAAAACCTCACTCATCCCCAATAAAAGCTTCTTTGCTTTAAAAAGACTACAAATGAAAGAAAAGGAAGGAGATAAGAGAGAAGGAAAGCCCTATTCTGCTGTTTGACAATAAAGTAACTTTTGGGTATCTTCATGTACTATGCTCTACCAGAATGAACAACCAAGCATATGCCAACATGATGAGAGACATATACAACCCTAAGAACTAGAAAACAAAAGCAAGGATCCAAGAATGTCACCTATGCCACACACGGTGCTGAGGGGGCAGCATAAGTTGGTGGTTGGAATGGCCTGGAGGGAGTGCCTATTAGCAGAAGGATGTGTGTCTAGGAACAAACCGCATCTTTATTTCATTTCTTATACGTTCCTTATATATAGCAGGACTGGAGCCTTGGTTGTTTTTGACAATTTTCTGCATCAGCAGAATGCAGACGTACCACTGTTTAAAGTGGTATCTATAAAGATGCTCAGCTCATCATGTATCTGGTTTTTTGGGTTTAAACTCCAGCAAAGTAACGTGACATATTTTATATGTGATATAGTTATATACTTCTCGTATTTGTAAAAACATATCTTTTTAGTATAAAGAAGCGGAGGAAATGGGTGCACAGTCCTTAAAAGAAACCAAGCTTCAGACTATGCCTCTTTTGTAAGAAGTAAGAGAAAGCCTGTGATTCTGTGAAGGAACCCATGGAGCATCCCTAAGTGTGCCACTGTAAATCTAGACATTACTGGTTTGCATAAGAATTGGACCTATGGAGGCCTGTATCAGAAGGAAGAGTGGATCAGTCAAGACAATGGTGGACATCTCTTGTTTGTTCTATCCAGCAAATAGCTGCTCTTCTTCTGGTAACAGCACCAGATTTTCTTCTGGGAAGCACCTCTTCCCCACTCTCAGTTCTTGTCATTTGGATGGTCTTGACTTTGTTTGTGGCTCTAAAGGTTGGCATGTGGCTCAGTCCCAGCCAATAAGAGCATCTTATCACCCTGGCCTTGGCAGGGGACTCATGGTTAAGCATCTGACCCAATGAAAGTCAAGTCTAAGACTTTTGTTCAAACTGTCGCAAAGGAAAAGTGGACACAGAGCCATGAGTCTATAAATCTGGATTTGCTGGAAACCACATTGCTGCCATGAGGGAAAAACTGATTCAAGAATGGAGCTAAGTTGAGGGATAGAGCAAGACCAGGATTAATAAGAATTGTCTGTGCTCTGGAATCCATTCGTGCCTGAGAAGTTGAATCTACTCTTGAGCTTTTCAGATACATTAGTCAAAAATATTTTTTTGCTTAAGCCATTTTTAATTGGGTTTTTGGACATTTAAAACCAAATGCATTGGGACCAGCCCAGCGGCATAGCAGTTAAGTTCGGTGTGCCCCGCTTTGGCAGCCCGAGTTTGTAGGTTTGGGTCCTGGGCGTGGACCTACATCACTCATCAGCCATGCTGTGGTGGTGACCCACATACAAAATAGAGGAAGATGGGCAACAGCTGTTAGTTCAGGGCCAGTCTTCCTCACAC